GTATATATATATATGATATTAACGAAATTGCTCGAATAACCTTGGTGAACCTCTTAACAATACCAATGGGGTATTCTAAGAGATAAATTTATTTCGCTTTGACAAATTCCCATTGATCGTTACGAAAAAAAATGGTTTGTTGTTCGATTGATTTTGAATAAATAAAATGGCTGTGAGGTGTTCCAAAGATAATAATTAAAGAAAAATAAAATTTGTAAAACTCTTCTCATAATACATTATTTCAATTGATGATAAAAGAATGAGATGAACTGATAAAATATAGATCCAAAATGTGGCTGAAAAGTTATAAAAAGAACTTTAAAAGTGTACTTACCAATTGTGTAATCCCAACTTATATCGCTGTCATTTTTGTAGACGTTTAATTTTTCCGGCTGAAAAAGGAAAATTGAAAAAAGAAAATTAAGAAATTTCTCATGAAATTGCAAGGAAAGCGAAAAAGTCTGGCTGTTGTTATTCGTTGAAACTTATCATTTATTCACAACCTTTCTTCTTCTAAATGTGTTCAACAGACGGAGATAACAAAAACCTTTTACACGTTGCAATTTGTTTTCCAACATTTCTCTTCTCTTCTCTCTCTCTCCGAAGACATTAAAATTTCACATTTGGCCAAGCTTTTGGGCGAAGTTCAGGATTTTTCTTGCACTCATCTGACAAGCATTTTTACAGTTTATTACCAAACCAACCAACACTATAATGGCTGATTGAAATTTAAATATTTGATTTTTATGCTTTTTTGCCATTTTTACATTTAAGGAAAGTGATTTTCAAGGCTTATGTAATTTTAGATGTATGAGATGTCGGAAATTAGAAGAAAACTACTTCGAAATATGTAATTCATTATTAATTACCTCTTTTGATTATCAATTTACTTTTTTCTGTTCTAGAGGAAAATATCGGAAAAGAATAATACATTTTTGATAACCAGATGAGCGATCCATTATAGAATCGAAATTGAAACTTGTTAAGCTTATCTGGGATGAATAGTCATTTCAAGGAAAACATAGTTGGGGAAGTATTATGATAGATTACATGGTGTCAAAGCAGCCGCAGTTTTATTTTGCATTCTCTACTACGTATGTATAATAAGGTTGAATTCATACTTATCAGCAATTTTGAAGAAGAAACTAAAGTTAAAATATTTTTCTTCGTTTGGTAAAGAAACACAGGATTGTATATTCCTGAATACTCTTCATTGTTCACATTTGAAAATTTTTTAATTATATTAAATTTGATAAAGAGACAATTCAGTTTATTTTATCTCGCTAAAAATTTCCACTTAAAATGAAACACGGGCGAAGCATCTAAACACATCACAAATTACATTATCAATATAGGTAATAACTTTTTAATTTTAATATGAAATGCCTATAGCGGAATCGAAAGTTTTTGCATATGTTAGTGTTTTGCAAACTTGAAAAAGAATGATAAAACAAACGAAAACGTTTCAAATTCTCAAAAATGGCTAATATTATGTTAAGCTTCGTGTTTCGAATCCTGTTGTTGCCGTAAATCTTTTCTTCAACATAATAGGATCATCCGCGTCTAATGTCACAACAATTTTACGCTCATGAACTTCAATTTAATACAGTTAAAACTCTATAAAATGATTGCTTTTTAAACTGATACGCTCGATGAAGTGATTTTTTTTGTCTCCGTAGCCCCATCAGTTTATCGAGCCTTAACTGTAGTTTTAAAATTTTTACAACGGCTCCATACCATATTAACATGGGCCATCGTATTGAAACTGTCAAAAATATTTGAAATTTTTTTTTTGCTTAAATATGCTTAAAATATCATAAAACGTCGAGAAAAGTTATAAAATTTAACTTTTTTTTCGCCGTCGGATTTCGACTCTGTATGTATTGTATATATATGCATGTCTGTTAATTTTTAAAAATCGTAATAACTTCCACATTTCTCAAGCAATTTTAAAAATATTTTGGGAAGATGAGTTTTTCATCATTATGAGAAAATGGGGTCTGTACCTTCAATTTTTCAGGTATCTGCCATACAAATTGACCCCAGATTAATCTTGATCTTAATCTAATCTTGATCGAATCTCGAGATCATCTAACATGGCAAAATATCTAAACGAGTAACGGGTTTGAGTGGTTGATAGGTTGATGTGTGTGTGTGTGAGTGAGTGAGTGAGTGAGTCAAAATCCCTTAGTTTCTTAAACATCTATCAATGAACGGCGACGAGCCTCAACATCAACATTTTCATTAATTCTTAATATTTTTATTTATTTGTGTAAGATAAATCATATATTTTAGAATCCTACATAAGCCGGAGTATATTTAGAATTATGCTTTGGCATAATTGGAAGCTTCCCCATGTGGAGCTTGCCTATCTCCAATTTCTTCCTTTAATTTGATTAAGGTGTTTGTAATTCTCGTAGATAACAAGAAATGACTATTGTAGATAATCTTCAAAGTCAACATAAATTAAATGAAGCACTTTATATAAAAATAAAAACTTATTCAAACAGGTGAAAGAAGGAAAACACATCGACGACTCTAGGGAATCACAACAAAACTGAATTTATTACGTACGTGAAATCAAAATAATTTATTTCGTACTACGAGGTCAGATATATGTATGATGTGCTAACGTTCGAGAATTAAATGTCCATTTAACATCGAATTGAAAAAAAGAATGAGAAAAGTTTTTGTTTAAAATTCCAACACAAATGCTGATAATTTATGAATCATGACTTGGTTCTCATCAAGATGAGATGCGAAATACTGAACACTCTACGAAGTCCTAGTAATGATGAAAGAAAAAATCTGTTTTTGGGTTCGAAAATCTTTTTATAGATACACAGTGAAAACAGTTACAAATTTTTATGAATCTGAAGTCTTTATCATGCGACAAGTGAGTTTCATAAAATTCCCGGTCTCTAGGGGGAATGAACGAAAGTGTGAATGGAAGTGTAACGTCAAAAATTGTTTATAAACAAATCTTTCAACAACAGCAGTATTAGTCCTAGAATATTTCAACAAATTAGTTATTGACTTGGAATGTTCAGCTGAGAGATTTAAACACAAATTTTGACGCAAAAGATGGCTATGATCAGAAATCATTGGACAAAGTTTATAATGATTAACAAAAGGTAAAGTTTCAGTCTATAAACCCCCAGTTATATTCGTCCCAATATCTTTAATCTTTACTCGTAAATCCATCTTTTTCGTGATTTTTCCAACTTTCGGCAAAAATGAAATATTTTGGCGCAAAATATTTTGTAATAAAAAATAAATGCAAATGACGAAATGTTTCAAATTTCATTTCAAACCATTATTAGTTATTGTGTGCATGAGTGTCAAAATAATATTCTTAAAAATTCACAAAAAAAAAGTACGATTGACGTGTGGAAAAGTGTAAATTTAACACTGACGAATTTTCTTGCTTGCAAATGACTTTGATGTTTTCGCGCTGCTCATTAATTATGAGCTTAGATGTCAGAACATACAGCCAGGTGTCAATATCATTGGATAGGGAATGAGAAGAATGTGAAAACAGTTTTTGCTTTTTCTCCTTCTATCAAGTGTGAAAAATATAATTAAATGAAAATACTCACCTTAGCGTAATCAATTTTCAGAGTACAGCATGCAGAGTATATGTCGCAACCATTAAGATTATCACGAGCACGAGTCGCTGATTCAATGGAGTCAAACTCAACCATTGCTTGAACACCGTTCTTTTTGAATATGACGATACGAAGAACGGTGCCATGTGGATGACAAATTGTGTAAATCACTTCCTGAGAAAAAAAAAAGAAACGGAAAGATGATCGCAATTAATTTGTGGGCGAATTTTATATTATAAATGTTTTGACGTTTTTCTTTCATAACAATTTAGCCATTCGTTATACGATATTAAGACCCATCCTATATTCAATAATAACATAATTAATTATTATTTGCTTATGGAAATTAGGATAAAATCGTCACATGTCGCTTTATTTTGACAAATGGCTTATGCACTATGCTTTCGTGCTTGCATGATGAGCATCAATTTAGAGTTAAATATTGTCAGTAGAAATGTTAAATTATTTTTCTTTGCATGCAATTACAGGTACTTGCAACTCACAAGGTGTGACAAAACTTAGATAAAACTAAGTTAAAAAAAAATAAAGTCAAGATGTTTAATTTAATGCGAAATATAAAGTCAAGTAGTTACTCTGAGAAGAAAAACATTACGATCATGCAAAATTTAAATGAAAATAAATTTTAATGTAATTGCAGTAGCAATAGAATAAAAGGCATTTGCAATATGAAAACATTTTAAATCATTTTTGAAACTAAAATACAATTTTTTTATTTGAAATGCTATGACAAAAAAAAAATTGATTCGAACGACAATTTCATCAGAATTCTGGAGACAAAGCCGAAGGCTTTCGTATCCTTTTTTCTTGGTAAAAGAGATTGAAACGAACAGAAATTTTTCTTTTTTTGAACATTTCAGTAAAAACAAAGAATTTATTGAAAGTCAATATTGAAATTCAAAAAACATGCTTGAAAATTTATTGAAAGTCAGTTTGAAAGTCAGTTGAAATCAGAAAAAAGTTTCTTGTTTGCATTTGAATTTTTTTTGTACGTAGTAATATGAAAGTTTTCTACGAGTACCTAAATCTATAGCTTAGCATAAAAATAAAAAAAAAGATTTAACAATTTCTAACAGTAGAAGCATAACATAACAAAGCATGGCAGAACAAATGTTGACTATGTAAGTTATACTTAGTTTTTGATAGATTAAACTAGACTTTTTCTTGGGTAGCTTAACTACACAGTAATGCCAAATTTCAGATATTTCTTTTGCCTCTATTTAAAATCTTTAAAGTGAACAAAGAATTATTCATGAAGAAAAATTCTTATTTTTTCTCTTCTAAACCATAAGAGACTTATTCTGTCTAATGATTATATCAAGACAAACGAAAGAAAAATTCAAAAATCTATTAACAGCATCACAATGCGGCTTTTTTTTCTCTATATACTTTGTAGAAGGAGCAATTTATGACAATCTAGGCACAGGCGGCAGCACACGAATTGAGAAGAGAATAAATGTGAAATATAAACAATCAAAAATAGCACGAAACAAATATCTATGTAGTAAGAAGGAATACTAGTTGCTTGAATGTTCTACATGATGTGAGTATTTTACACTCTGTCATATAACCTAATCCGATATTTATATAACTCATGCCAAATACTCTAAAAACTTTCTAAAATAATCTTTAAAAAAGTCAGTTTAGAAGGGTGGAATCAAATGATGAATGATGTATTTGATATGATCACTATAAATGAGAATTGCATTTAATAACAAGCTTTCATAAACTTTCTATTTATTCTTCACATAACTAGAGATAGCTGGTTCGATTCCAGTTGTTGAAGAAATTGTTTTTCAATTTTCATTTTTTCTTTATGTGAGATTTTATTAAATTTAAATGTTTTGTTTTTCTCTGTCAAATTTTTTTTTCAAATATACCTAATTAAAAATGAAATTTCAAATAAAAAACTCTAAATAAATTAAAAATTTGGAATACGTTAGGTCACAACCAAAATTAGATGTTGATGATGACGTCACAACAAATAACATTATATAAGATATTGTAGGAAGGATATCAAAAACAAAAATATTTACTTGATAAAATTCTTTTCAAATCATTGAAAGCTGTTCTATTTCTATTGCGATCCTCACTTCAACATTCTGTCAACATGCCTATCTTACACCTACCTAAAGTTTTTATTCAGTTTTATAAGCAACATAGCTTCGCCGTTGCTTTTTTCATTTGCTCGACAAAAAAGCACATAAAAGCTTTTTTCTCATCTTTGAAGTGGAGTTAAAATACGCAAACTCAGACTCTCTGTTCGTTTAAGGAGAAGAATGGAACAATATTTGAAAAAAACACCAATCTCTTTCCCAATCGTAAAGTATATGTAATCTTAAAAATCTGTTTAATCCATGATTCTACGTGCAGCTGTAGCAGATAAGGGCCATCAAAAACATTGTTTCAATTAGAAATCTTTTCTTTTAAATAAGTTTTTTTTGAAAGTAAAATTTAAATTAGACAATCTATTTGAACAATTTAAATAATTAATGATTAACTTATGATTTATGATTATTACTTTTAATGCAAACAGTGAATGGTAAAAAAAGCTGAGTTTTCTGAAAGCTCATTAACCTTAACATAACATCTACGTCATTCGATAGATATTTTCTACCGTGAACTCAGCTAAAAACCTTGTTTTAATATCCATTCGCTACAGACAGGATAAAAAGGAGACTACAATCATACAGGAATGTTTGTAAACTAAGTGTGCGAATGCTGCTCTTTTTGTATGATGTTTATGATGCAGAAAGCGAGGGAGGAAAATTTCAACAGAAAATCGATAAACAAGTTTTCTTTTCTTTCGTTCTCACTCTTTTTTTCCTCCCCTCTCGCTCCCTCTCTCTCAGTTTAGAATGAAAAAGCAACGAGTGGGAATTTTTAGGAAACGTTCGTAATTTACGTTCACTAGAACTTTGAATTTCCCGCGTCTTCCTCTTACGACTGACGTAACGGTTTTTTTTAGTTTTCCAAGTGCAACGTAAATTACGTAAATTATGATGAGAGAGAGAGAGAGAGAGAGATGAATGATGCAATGAATTCTGTAGTTTTTATATTCTTGAAATTTATGTTTTTTGTATCAACATGAGAAAGTATACACATTTTTGTACAAAATTTTTCTCATGCTTTAGTAATGTGCCATAACGCTGCACTGTCAAGCTTTACAATGATCAAAAAGTTTAAGGATTGTAAATCATGAAGTTGAATGACAATTACAAGAAAGTTAAAGAGCGTAAATATATAGACCTGATGATGATGATGATGATGATGATGAATTCTTCTATTGATTCTACTAAAATTTAATGTTACTTAAAACTTTCTGTCAAAATTTCTAAATATAAAATCAACAAACGTGTGGAATATAATTACAGTGAACTTTCTTTATAAGAATTTTGAGTAAGTCACCTATAAAGAGCTTCTTCCTATAAAGAAGATAATGTAAGTGTGAGGAATTTAAAGAGCTTTTTACTTATAAAGAAAATTCTTATAAAGAAAGTCCACTGTATATTGATTTTGTAGCAGGTAAGCTTTGTATTATTGGTCAAGTTGAAAAAAGAGAAGAATTTACTATTTTATTTATAATTGAGGATATTGGATAGAATATCTACACAACCTCAACAAGATTGTAAATATGATGAATCTATGTTATATTCTAAAAAGGCATTCGCAAATAATTTCCACTGATAATTTGCATGTGGTACATACATTTATAAGTGAAATGAAATGAAAGAAAATATTTTTTACTAAAATTTGAATTTGGTTTACAGCTATCATGGAATGTCACTTATTACAGTGATTGCAGCATAAATTGAATTGAATATCCGGATGAATCTACAAAAAAAAATAACTTGACTCGTTTTAGAATTCTGAAATGCTTATCATAATTAAACAAACTTGACAGATATGTCAATAAAATTATCGCTTCGATGTAATTAAACTGGAGGCTCAGAGTCAGAAATTTACAAATGGGGTTTTTCATCATCTCAAGAAATTTTCATGCTTTTACTCCATTTATTTACGTTTTCTTTTTTTATAAATGCTGCATCAATTTATTTGTAAATATACAACTTTCTCTATCGCATTGTAAAAACATTGATTCAAAAGTCGTCTTAAAATTTAGATTGAAATTTTTAACTTACATTAATTATTATTATAATTATTATTATGATGATCATAGAACAATCAAAGTACAATATATATATATATATATATATATTAAAGTAAGTTAAAATATTATAAAAGATGAAATAATGATAACTGTTGATCAAACTAGAAACTTACCACAGTAATAGGATAAACTGGGTTAATGATTGTGAAAAGTAAAATGTGATTTGGACGGGAGGCTTCCTGTCGTTTTCGACGCGGCTCCTCCGTACTGTTGGTAATGATACTATTATTGACTGTCTGGTTGTTGAGGATGGTGTTCGTTTGACTGTTGTTTGGGTTTTGACTAATTGTATTGATTGATTGTGTCTGTAAAAGAGAAAAACAGAAAAAAAGACTTAAAACTTGGTTCTTTTTAAACTAAAGAACATGCTAGACGGGAGCTTTAGGACAAAAAAGGGATTCTTTGAGGCCACATTTTAATCTACCTAGTCTTTTATATAAGCTGAGAAATTGGGAACTCAACTGAGTCACAATATTGTCAAAGCGAAAGTGAAACGAAGAATAAAAAAGGATCACAAAATCCTCAAGTATATGTTTGTGGGAACATTATGATATAATCTTTTTCCGTTAAAAGTTAAATAGATTTCATAAAATTACTTGGAATCAAATAAAAGCTAAACGCACGTGTTTAGAATTTTCTTCTATACAAGCATGAAACTATTCAGTGACCAATGTATAGACTTATATTAAACTTTCATTTCTCATCCTTTATATTATTTATTCATGATAAAAAAGCTTCACCCTTTTCATTGAGAAAACCATTTATGTATTCAAGAGAAAAACCAGTAAATTGGTGAAGGGCATTTTATGAATGACAATGACCCATAACTAATCCCACAGAGCGAATACATTATACATAAATCAGCTAAAAACGTTGTTTGTCTCCTTGCAATAATTTCTTATACGCCAATCTTAGTCAATAACATTGATTTAAGCGCACACCAATTACTAGTTACTTTTGTTTTACATAAGCATTCGATTTTTTGATAGCGTACTCTTAAGGAATGTTTAATTCTGATATTAATAAATTATTCATAACTAGTCGAAAGCAAATTTTCAGTTTCTAAATGAAAAACAATTCGAAACATGAATTCATGTTAAGAAATAAAAAGAAGACGCAATATTCTTTAAAACCAGAGTATTTATATGCATCAAAACGTTATACACTACGTTAATGATGTGAACCCAAAGTATAAATAACGATTTTAAAGCGCGACATAAGTGAAGTATATTAGTTGATATTTTAAGACTTTATGCTACTTTTAAGTGATTTGAGAATTGAAAATTGCAAATATTCTTATCTGGAGAACAGTCAATGCTTTTTTATAAAGCAAAAACTGTTCAAGAAACTAGGACTTCTTTAAATATCATAAAAAACCCTTTCAATAAATAAACCCAATTAATTAACATATCTTTTATGAAAAGGTTTTGCTAAAATAGCAAAAATCGCTGTAAATATTTATCTCTTCGGATTTTACGTTCAATTTTCGCATTTTTTGGTGAGAAATGCAATGATTATTGTCTAGTCTAGACGTATATCCGATAGTTTAATAATATATTTGATTTCAGATGGTGAAACAATGTTTTAATAAATATTAATATGTATATGCTAAATAGATGAAAAAGAGTGTCAAGAGAGTAAGTCTTCATAATGTTGGCGATTTTCTTAAATGGCTCTTATTACAAATATATTTTCCAATTTAGAGAACTATCCATGAAAGATGTTTCACATTGCTCCACAGAACCAAAAAATAGCATCATGAATACAAAAAAAAAAACATGATTCAAAACAAATAAATATTCAAAACATTTAACCATTCTAAACCCAAGTGACTCTGAATACTCGTATATGTATGTGCATTCCAAAGTTCTTGTCAACTTTCTTTTCAGTTTCTTTCTTACTTGTTTCTTTTTCTTCACTTTGCGCTTTTGATTACCTTTTTTTTGCATTGCCACTTTCGTTCCGTATCACTGACCTATAAAGCTAATATTGTGTGTTTTTGCACATTAGCAGCTGTAAGCGTATATTTTCTTTTTCTGGTCGACGTAGTTTTACCGTTGAGTACTTGTAAGCTGCAATTTGTTGATATTAGGAGAATGAAGGTCATTCAACATTTTTTATTTCTTTTTATAACAGTATCAATCTTGGTCTGTGAAGTTAAGCCTAACAACACATATTAATGTTCTTTATTGATCGTTATTATTTTTTGATATAGTCATTTGCTGATAGCAAGTCATAACTGAAGCTACGATAAGATAATTTCAAAAGGTAATAAGATTAAATTTCAAGGGAACGCGAATAAGGATTTTGGATAGTGTAAATAGCTCTTTGTAGATTTGAGTTAAGGTTCATTATTATTCTTTTATTATTATTCCATCAAGGTAAAGGTTCGTGATAAATATAAATTAAAGTCTCGGGTTTGAAAATTATTGAAATTATAACAAAAATTACCCTCAATAATCCGAGTCCCTTGCTAATCTCCATGTCACCTCCACTTGATCCATTATTGCACAAAGCTTCTCCATTTGTGTTGTTGTTGCTGTCATTAACATTTATATTATTTTGTCCAGTACAGAGCCTTTTATTATGCGGCCCTTCTGTATCGCAGCCGCCATTAAATGCCATTTTCTATGAAGCAACTGCTCTTCACTTTTTCACAACACTTTTATCACACAGGCTGATAAGATGTTCTCTTTTCACTTATTTAAGTAATTTATTTCAAATGAAATATTTTATTATGATTCGGTTAATTGAATGCATCCACTCGATTTGCACTTTCTCATTGCATTCTGAATTTAATATTTAATGATTTTCTCTTTCGCGATTTCACAATTCCGAAACAATGTGTTGGAAACTTATTATGTGAATGAATTGAGAAAAAAAGAAACTATTATTTCATATTACACGCAATTTTTCACCTTACAATTGCTTTGTACTTGCTTTGCTTTCTTTTTATGCATATCGTCGATCAAATGATGCAATCTCCATTGTTTCACATTGATTGATTCTTCTATTTATTTTATAAAAATCCATTCATCTTATATTCATTACATTTTAACTATTGAAGAAGCTGGGAACTTTGATAAAGTGTCATAAACAAGAAATTAATTTGTAAGCAAAAGCTTACATTATATATAATAATATATACAATAATAATATAAAAAAATACTAAAAATCGTATTATTTTCGTTGAATTTTTTCCTACTTTTCTGTTTAAAACTTGAGATGTCGAACTTACAACATTTAGTTAATTTTAGAAAAAAATACCTAACTGTTTAAGATTCATAAAGGCTATTCTGAACTTTGATATTTATGTATATCTATCATAAAAATTATATTTATTTAAAAAATTAGGTTAACTATTCTGAAACGTGCCTTATTTCTTAGGTAGAATATTAAATACATATAATTTCAAAGGTGAATTCGAATGTCTGATAAGAGTGAATAAAAGTTTAATATTTTTTCAATAAAAACGACAATCTATATTATTTAGCGGAGATCATTTGAAACTATATGTAAAGAACGGAAACATATTGTAAATCAGCACAATACAGTAAAATATATTTATTTCTGGATTCAAGTCCGTCATAACTTGTTGTTCAACAATCATATGACCTCAAGAATGCAAATTATTGTTAAATCGACATACTCAAAAAAATGTACATTTATGAAAACTTTCAGCTGGCCTCTTGCAACTATGTAAGTAGGGTCAAAAATACAAAATTAATGTAAAATTTGAGGGCAACAAAGTGAGATAGTTAGTATTGCTCCATCAAGCAATCAGTTCAAAATTATTTTCCGATATGAAAACGTACTTTTTACTGGCATCAAGGTTAAAATTTTCATAAAATTGAAACTTTCACCTTTCTACTTGTGAACCTTATTAGGTATTTTTATACATTACAACACATTTCTTAAACAGCGCAAAATTCTCCCGATATTTGGGTACAAATAATTCTCAAATATTTCTATTTTCTTTCCTTTCCTTCAATATTTTCATCACAAATACCTATCTGATTTTCACTAACACCATCATATATCACAGGATTCCATTACTATCTGACGAGAAAAAGACATTTTCCGAATTGGAAAATCTTTCAAATAAGAGTTTTCTGATGTTTTTATCATTCAATTCTATCATTACTCCAATCATTTTAGTTTACAAAACAGCTGAATCTATTTTTAAAGATTCCCGATTAATTAACTAAGCAGTTAGCTCATTTTCACTTCACTTTTATTAAAACATTGATTTTAGTTAAAAAACTTCTATCCCAATACTTATAATTACAGCATACATAAATTCGATAAATATAAGAACAAGAGCAATGCAAAGCTAGTTAAGCAATTGATAGGCACTGAAATAAAAACCAATTTACAGGCAATATTTAGAATAGATTATTTTTGCAATCACCTTCACTGAAAACACTACAGCTTATCACTTAGATATTCATTTTTCCATGCATTATTTATGTTAACAGATCAAGGAAAAATTTGAAAATAAATTTTTTTTCATGATAAGATTTCTATTTTTTGTGAAAATTCATTTCACTATTTTCCTTTTCTTTCTATTTTAATTTTCTTTCACTAGGTAGACATTAAAACATCGATGTTAGCGCCGAGACATATAATGCAAGACTGGTCTTGCATCCGACTAACCAAGTAATTCCACACTCTCTACTTGGAACTCGCCTCTATAAAGTTAGTTTCAGGTGGAGAGTGTAGCGCACGGACGATTTTTCTTGCACGGAGAAATAGTAAACTATGATTGATCTTTTGTCCGAGAACGTTTCAGTGGCGGCGCTACGATCGAAATGTGAACACGGAGAAATTTGTGAACACGGAGAAATTTTGAATCATGTGCATTTTGTATGGAAGGTCAAATCCGCGCAAACCGTCGGAAATTAGACATAATAAACATGGACAAAATCACCCGTTTTGTATGGGAGGTCAAATTCACGCAAGTCGGTTTCCCGGTCAGTCCGACGTCAATGGGGGCCAGAAAAAATAACTCTAAGGGGTCTTTTCTTTCCGGCTATGCGAATTACTTCGTGCGAAGGGAAAGGAAAAGAATTTTAATACATAGGCAATTTCATAAAGGTTATACAACTACAGCAGAAATTTTTCCTTGCTACCTAACTCTTTAATTAAACACTTTTTACATAGGATGTCTTGTACAAATTTATACAGTGTTGGGAATTCTACCGATCGTCTCGGCCATCTTATCTAAAAAGTAATTAATTAAAGAGTTATTAAGTAAAATGTCTGCACTCACTTACCTTGGTAGGTATGGTATTATTTTTTTTAAATTGTGCTTTTGGCGGCCAATTTTTGCGATGAATTGCCCAATGAGTAAAAGATTCCAACACCTTCAGCTAATTGATGGGATGGTAGAATATCACAAGCTAAAGATAAATTAAGAATCTTGCCTTAATTTTTTTTTGGGTATACAATTAACATGCTTTATTTCACATGTAGAAGCCTATCGACGATAAGGTTTTATTTGAATACCTAGATAAAAGTCTAATAAGGATTTTAGTAAAGAAATAAAAAAATAGGTAATTACCCAATATTTAAATATGAAGCTTTCAAGCTCAGGTTGGTTTTAATTTAAAACTTTTATATATGTAGTTTGAACAATTTCCCGCACTTGGTCAACACTTTATCATCACGTTTTCTCTGATTAAATTACATTTATGGAGAAAAATTGACGAATTTGATTAAAAATCTATACTTTCCTTTTATAGTTTACTACCTATTTCTCCATATCTTGGGTATTTTTTTAATATTCTCAACATGCAAATATATACCTAGTGTCTGACAATTTCCGTATCCTAAATTAGATCCTGACATTCAAAAATGTGAAACAATCAAAAAATGCAACAAAAATTTAATTAGACGATAAAATATTTACTTATCAGCAAACTTTACATGATAGGTGCAGAGATGGGCATGTCTTGCGCTGGTAGCGTACTTTACTTCAAAAATTGTCTTGCGTACCCATTTTTTTTGCGTTACTTCCTCGTATCGCNAGATTATCGATTTGTTGACAAATATTGCCTAGTTTCATCCGTTCGTGTGTGTGTGTGTTTGTGAGCAAAAAAGTTTGAGGAAAATAAAAGAAAATCACGTATTAGAAATAATAATTTCGTCGCTTTTATATTTGAGATATCGTGACTTGAAATTTCTTACTGTCATCGAGAATCTCTTCACCATCTCCGTCGCGAATATCTGAACAACAATCTTCGATGATATCATCCCATGGACTACCAAATGAGAATCCATCTGTTGAACATTGTGGGCTTGTCGAACCGATCACTAGACCAATTTTACAAGCTTCGCAACAATCCTTAACAATCATATTGAAAAATTTATCAATAAATAGAAATGCAGTCGGTGATGTTTTCAACTTACTTTAAAGAATTCAGTTCCATAGTTATCAGCCGTGTTGTCACAACTTGAACTCGATTTTGCCGCCACAGATCCGGCTGTTGTGGTAAATAAAAGCAAATAAAAAAGACATTGACAGAAAGTAAACAAACAAATCTATTATTGAAAGTGACAAGGACAAGGACTTACCCGTGCACTGATAAATTCGATGTTGTTTTGCGCAACAAATTTCCACCGTTGATAAGCACAAGCCGTGTAAGCCAGCTGGTACAACATTATTGTCAAGATTGAACTTATATTCGTTGCAATGTTTTCGTTGTGATCCCCATTCATTTCCTTCGTTGCAACAAAGATTGACGACTGATTCAATATCAACGGCTAAATATTTGAAGAAACAAATTTGTCTTATTTAAGTTCATTTCTTTAACATGCTTGAAACATTCAAATTTGCTTCCTTTTCAATCAGAATGAAATTTTAATCGCCGGAAGTTGTTCGTCGTTGCGGTATCGTCTCGACACCTTTCCAGTTTGAGTTGTAGAAAGAGAGAAATTCATTTAAGAAGAAATTGAATTTAATGATAGGAAAAAAGGTTTTAAACTTAACGAGTTTGCGATGGTTAAGGAATGAGAAAATTTTATCATGCCACAGGAAGATAAATCAAGTTTGTGTCGGTTTTTACGATGCTTCAATGTACTCGTTACACGTTTATTTTTCAGCAAATTTTCATTAAAGAAAAACAATTTTTCCATTCCATAAACATTGCTGAATGTCTACACAGATGGTTGAAAATTGGAAAATTATATTTTCCTTACATGTGATGATATGCAGAGATGGGCATGTCTTGCGCTGGTAGCGTACTTTACTTCAAAAATTGTCTTGCGTACCCATTTTTTTTGCGTTACTTCCTCGTATCGCAAAATGTGGGGACGTGATACTTCCACAAGCGCAAAAAATGTGGAAGTCGAGATACTTCCACGTAGCGCAAACGTTGGGGGAAGTGATACCATTTTAGTAGCGCAAAATGGTTACGTCGCAACCAATTGCGCTTCGCGCTTGTGGTACTTTTATTTTAAAATAAAATTCAAATTTCTCTTGAATTTTTGATTTTAAATAATTCTTTTGAGCAAAAATTAAATATAAATTAAATGAAATAGCAAATAATTTGTTTTTTTATTTGTTCGGATATCAAGTAAACTATTAATTTTTCTTTCGATATCAAGTTGTGCATCTCTATATTAACAGTTAGTTCAAGCGATTATTGCAATAATAAAAGCTTGTGATTGAGAAAAAACAAAAATTTGATGAAAAAAAATCTTAAAAATTGTAATGAAGCATTAATTGATGAACTGGCCTTGTCGTTAACTAATTGATGATGAGCAAGAAAACATATTAGGAATTTAAAAATGATAATGAAAAAAATGGCTTATAAAGAATTCTTTCGACTGATTTTTCTATTGATGGAAACATGAAATTATTGATCATAATTGTATCGATTAAGATATACATAGTTGAGCGTATAAAAAAATCCCAATAAATAAATAATTTCGATCTTATTGTATAAATTAATTAATTGTCTTATGTTCTAGATTTATTGAGAGATGAAAAAGAAAAATAGAAATTTGATAGACAACGCTCAAAAACATTAATCCACATATATGCAACTAAATCAGAAGCATACATAAAAAATTAAATAGAAATCAAAAATAAACTCAATGCATACCATAAAGAAAAGGAAGAAATTCACTTCCATTAAGTTGATTTAAACTTCACTCACGCAATTTAATTTAATTTTTGCTCAAAAGAATTATTTAAAATCAAAAATTCAAGAGAAATCTGAATTTTGTTTTAAAATAAAAGTCCCACAAGCGCGAAGCACAATTGGTTGCGACGTAACCATTTTGCGCTACTAAAATGGTATCACTTCCCCCAACGTTTGCGCTACGTGGAAGTATCTCGACTTCCACATTTTTTGCGCTTGTGGTAGTATCACGTCCACCAAAATTTCTTGCGCTGGTGGAACCCAGATTCCTCCAAAGTAACGCAAGACGTTCCTTGCCCATCACTGGATAGGTGAAATAAATGAAAATAATATAATAATTAACTAATTAAGTGAGAGCAGGTGTATCTTTTTTTTCTAAGAAAATAATTAAAAGTATATCGTAAGAGAGAAAAATATCATCACGATTTCAATTGTTCAAACTGTTTCAGTCAAATGAAGGCACAGGAAACATGAGACGTGTGGCGCTTTAGTTAATAAACAACTAAGTGAAAACATAACGATAATAATGAATATAAGGAACGAAAAATCTTGCAATTCATAAGTCTTATTTCAACCTTTCAAGCATTTCAAACGGTTTTTTTTTGTCTCTAAAAATGATTAGTAATAAAGTTTTTATAATTTTCCTTTTCATTGCTGGTATGTAAAATATTTAATTAAAGTTTCAATTAAAATATATTGAAAGCTTTTTTGTAGTCTTTGCAAAATCAGTTAAGACTGGAGGAGATTCCTTTTACTCTGATTCCGCAGTTGGCCAATCAATACCAGATGAAACAAGTGACCCATCAGCAGACGATTCATCAATAAATGAATCTATTCCTTCAAGTGAGGAAGAGGAAAGTGATTCCCTTTCAACAAGTTCTCCAGAAAACGTAGGAAGAGAAGGAAGAAGAGGGAAAACAGGAAAAACATCTGGCAATAAATCTCGAAATGATATGAAGAATACAAGAAAAAATCAAAATAAGCCTCAGATGAGACGTCAAAATCTGAATGGCCTTCAGGAAAAGGAAATAGAGAGATTATCTGATGATAGTCCTTTATTAGATGTTGATTTAGATGAATATGCTACTGAAAACCTTGATGAAGGAAGTAATGGACCGTTTGATGACGTTATCAAAGAAGAAGATGAAGAAGATGACAATAATCTACCTATATATATGGAGAGTACAAGAAAAAGTCAAAATAAGCCTCAGATGAGACGTCAAAATCTGAATGGCCTTCATGGAAAGGAAATAGCGAAAATATCTGATGATAGTCCTTTATTAGATGTTGATTTAGCTGAAGATGGTACTGAAAACTTTGATGAAGGAGGTGATGGTCAGTTTGATGACGTTATCAATAAAAATAATGCAGAAGATGACGATAATCTGCTCATAAACATCGAAGCAGCTGAAGCAGATAGTGGGAAAGAACATGCACCTGGTCGATTACTTGATTTAAACTTAGTCCCCGGAGGTACTGGTCACGGGCTTGTGTGAAGTCCCTTTACGGATTTGATTTAAAAAATGCAATTTCTTTGCTTTGTGAATTGATTAATTAAATTTTAATCGAAAATAATAAAAAATCAGATTTGGAAATGAATTTTATTTCAACTATCTAGGCAGTTATAATTGAAATGCACGAGTTAATGCATTACCTTATTTATATTCTGTACAATTTATGGCTCAAATTTTATTCTAGCTACTTAAGGGTAGCTTAGAAGCAAAAAAAATATTCGAAAGTCTATGAAATTATTGTCAATAAAATGAAAATATGTAACTCTTTCAATCAACTTTAGAGATTTGTTCATCAACATGGTTCAGGTAATCTGACGTTATGCGTACAATGATAAAACCACTACTGAGTCCAACAAATGTTGCAATTCCATTATTCTTCGGTAAAATGTTTTTTGCAAATGCCCACATAAGTACAGATCCGAAACTAAATAAGACACCTCCAACAGCACTAAAATTTTGAGCAATAATAGACTTTAATACTCTTTTAGAAGCATTTTATAAACTTACGCGTAAGCCAATTTATTCTGTTGAGATGCTTTTTTCAAATGCTTTCTCGTATAGATGTAAGATCCAGCACCTAAAACCGTGTGCCATAAAAGGAAATTGGTAAGATCCGAAGATCCAAAAAAACTGAAAAATGCGATTTAAAATAATTAATTTCTTTTAATAATCCATAGTTTAGGTCTATTACTTGTTTCTTATAGCAGGGTTCATTATGTTGATGGAAAGCGCACTGTAACTTATCATACTATTAGCCGGTAAATAGAATGAAAGAATATTTTCTTTGTTCAATGGCTTCATGATGTCCCACTTCCGGCGTATTTTTAAATATTTCCTATAGAACTATAATAACGAGCAAGTAACTACCTATTACTTGAAAAAAGAGATTTTCCCTACCTAGTAGTTTATTTTTAAAAATAATCAAGTTTTGTCGATTACATAAAAAACTGTGAAGAATTTCGAAAAAAGCGAAAAAAAGTCGATTGAATTATGTAGGTTTAGTTGAAATTCAAATGTCTGTCTGACACTTACACTTCCTTCATAAATAACGTGGAAAAGGGGTTATCGTACTCATACTTTAATGAAATCGAATCACGAGTGCAGCGTTTTATGCATATGCTTCAAATTACCTAAGTTATGTTATTGGATGAAATACTTTTATAAAATATTTCTTTACTTTCACTTTAAAGCAACGTTTCTTGTAGCAGAAATAGGCAGTTCCCTGGGTCATCTGATTTCGCATACTTATCTCATTATAAGGTTTGTTAAACAAATTATCAAAAGAAAATTTCTCAAAAACTCAAATGTATTTAAAAAAGAGAATAATTTAAACGAAGAGAGATTGACCTAAATGTTCTCAGAAAAACTACAACGACTGTCATTGTGGAGTACGATTTTTCATTGCGTGGAAGCTTTAAGCTCCCTTTGGATACATATTTGAATATAATAAAATGAAAAACCTAGTACTCTTTTATACAAATTCAAGCTCTAACTGTCGTTGCGTTGAAGCTATCGCAAAAACAATTGGAATTGACTTGGAATTCAAGTAAGAGAAAAGATTTGAAATTTTTACATTACGCAATTTAATTAAAAATTTAGATTCATAAATCTTTATCGTGAAGAAAATTTAAATCCAAAATATTTATCAATTAATCCAATTGGAACAGGTGAGATAGTGTCAGAATAAATAACAAATGAATTGACAAATTCTTAATTAAATTTTCCAAAATAATTATTTTTAGTTCCCGCACTCATTGATGGAAATATCAAAGTTTTTGACAGTCATGCAATTGGTATTTATCTAGTTGAAAAGTATGCTATAGTGGATTCTCTATATCCAAAAGACCTACTTAAAAGAACTCGTATAAATCAAATATTGTTTTTTGAAGCGAGTTATTTATTTGCAAGACTGTTTGAAATTCACGTATGTTAATTTCTCAATTTCCCTGCTTAGTAAAACTTTAACAATTTTTTTCATCAACTTCCTAAAAGGATTCAATATGCAACGGTCGAGATTTAACTATTTCTTCTGCCAAGATCAAATACGTTGAACGGGGATACGAAAATACCGAAAGATTATTCTCTGAAGGAAATCAATTTGTAGCGGGAAATGATATGACATTGGCTGATTTTAGTGTTTGGTCAACGCTTCTTGTTCTTGATCTCCTTATCCCAATCAATAATCAAAAATATCCGAAACTTCGAACATATTTAAAATTGTTAGAAGAGCATCCATGTTATCAAGCAAACTTTGGAGGTGCACAGAAACAAGCTGATTTTATAGAAAAATGCATGGAGAAAGCAAAAAATTATAAAATTAACACATTCGAGTTGATTTATCCGAGACCACCAATTTAATCTGATAATGCTGAAAGTCTTAAATATTTTTTCAATAAGAAAGAACTTTAAACTGTTGAACTTTAAGAGATAGTTTATAAAAATAAGAACAATTATTAGGATGATTTATTAAAAGAAATTTTTGAACCAATCTTTAATCATTGAAATTTATTTTAGGCTGCAACTCTAACAATTGATTCCATTCTTTCTTTGTTAATGTTATTCCACTTTTTCCAGGACGCCATTCACCTAGAGAATAATTATAGTGATTCATATAGTTGTATTGAATCCAAAGATAAGACCTGTATGGAAATCATCACTTACCAGAACTTTTGTCTTGATAATATTCTCTTATGTTTAAGTATTGTTTTCCTTTGAATGTGCTCAAACTTACTCGACGATTGCGATCGAGTTCAAAGTAATCATTTCCATCTGTTTTAGAAGGACCGTCTTTTGCTTTTTTAGACGGTGGAGGATTGCGCTGAATAAATTAAACATGTCAACAATGTACAATTGTAAATTTCATAAAATAAACAAAAAAAAATTAAATTACATCGTCTGGACCAGAATCCGAATCGGAATTCTCCTCTATCTTCTTTGTTTTTGGCATATTTGTCAATAGTTTATTTTTTTTACTTATAGTCTTTAATTCTTTACTGCTTGTTTACGATTTTAGGTGATAATTTTTCTGCCGGCAAATTGTGCAAATATAAACGCGCTTTGATACACCACAGGGGGAATGAAAATCACCACACTCTGCTGAAAAGAATTTAAAAGGTGTATCTAAAACCAGTTATTTTCATAAAGAGTATTGCCACAACTACAAGATTTTATTTCCTTAATAACTCGGTAAGCAATTACACCTACTTTTAAGATAAAATGTTTTGAGTAAATTTACACACTTTCGGGACCTCTATCAATCATCTGAAGACATATTCCAGTTATTCGTGAAAAATAAATTATAATCATTGTCTGAATAAATTGTTTTATACGTCCCTTCGACGATAGATGGCGTTATTAGCGATGAAGAGTTGAACTTTTAAAAACTAGTTGACGTCAGCAATGCTCTTCCTCTTGAATTCAGTTTTTCCGCGGGACTGGAAATTCAGATTTCCATACAAAACATTACTGAAAACCACCTAATTCCGAGAATATTTTGTCATTCCGAGTAAATTTTACACTCTCCACCTGAAACTGCTTCCCCTTGTGCTTCCCGGTGGTCCAGCTTCAGGTGGAGAGTGTATAAAATGACGTTAGCAGTAGTGTAGTGTCAACAGTAATTCTAGATGTATTAGATAGTTGGTAGAATTTCACAATAATAATAAATATTGCTAGAGAATTTATTCTAGTGGTTACGACTCGAAACAAAGAAATTGTTTGAGTGCATATGGTCCGGACCGGAAATTCATTTTTCATACAAAGCGTTTATCATCATGATTAATAAGCAAAATATTAGGTCGATGTTAGAGAATATTGTTGAAATTGTTAATAAGGATCCCATCGGAGCTGATGTTAAAGTGGCTTTATTTATAAGTGCAGCAATAAGCTTTAAGAACAATAGTTTGTTACATCCTTTTCCAAAAGAATATATAAACGCTGATAAAATAAAAGATTTCCAAAGACTGGTAAGTTTATTATTGACAACATATCCAAATAATTATTTATAATTGATTTTTTAGGTGTTTGATCTAGAAAAGATACCGAATTTTGAAGAATTAATAACTCTTTCTATGGGCGGAAATGCATCATTACTTCCTTATCCTTCAATCGATTTGCTATATCATATTCTATCTTGGCCAAAGTACAACTTGGAATCCATTAAGAAACCAGAGTTTGATAAAATTTTATGCCTTTCACAAATCAACACAAACATTCGCCAAAAGATTCCAAAACCAAATCATATATTTAAAGTTAAATATTCAGGTGTCAAATTAAGTTTATGCAATTTATAAGAATTTCTGAAATATGAACAACAAAATTTTCACTCCTTAGAATCTGGAGCCGAATTGAAGTTCATATCCAAAAAAGTTGGAATGGAAACCAGTTATGCCTTTCATGGAACACGATTCTTCAATATTTATTCAATTCTTAACCATGGACTACAACAACATTTGAACAAGATTGGATTATTTGGAGAAGGATTATATTTAGCAAAAGAACCCGGTATGAAATTTTAATCATCATCGTCACAAATAAAATCTTTTAATAATTATATTTTCATTTTCAGATGTGTCGCTTTTGTTCAGGTTCCTTTTATTTCAAATTACTGAAAGTCTTTAAATTAAGGTTTCAATTATTTTTTAGTCCTTCTGTTCTAAGTTGGGACAAATCATTAATTGGTGGCTTGGTGAGTTCCATTGCACTTTGTGAGTATATTAACGATCCTTCTCATGTGAAGGTTCGAAAAGGTCAGTAAAGCAATCTAATAATAAATGATACAATAATTCATAAATTTTAACCTTCTGATTTTAAGAGAATGCAAAGAACTCGGACATTCCACATAGCTATATTTTGATAACAAACAACGAAATCGTTCGAGTTAGATACCTTTTAATTTTCAGCAGCAAGAAAAAAGTTGTCAATGGGAAACATTCACAATCGATTGATAAAGAGAGCTTTGTCCAAAATAGTTCATTCTTTCAATGGCTCAGAAAGAATCCAATAATTGTGTCAGTGGTTTTATATTTAATTATGTTGTTTATAGTTGGTTCAAGCAATCATCGAACAGTTGACTACTACAAAAATGTTTTTACTCAATTTTTGAAGAATAAATTAAATTTTCTTTGAATAATGTTTTTATTTCTCAACAACGCTTTTAATGCGCACAGTTTTTATTATGTATCTAGGTAGTTTCAATTTCATTCCAGAATTTAATTATGACCAGACATGAATTTTGAAAGAAAGTCATTAGATTTAGGTTCAATGGACTCCTGCCAATATCTCATGATATGACCTTTCTGTTTCCATATCTTGGTGGTCTCCTTGAGTTCCATTTGCCCTTTTATTACCAACATGTCAATAACTCTAACATCAGACACATCTTTGTTTTTAAGAAACTCTTCTTTTAATTTTTGACGAACTTGTGGCACAGATTTCGGTATATCGAACTTCTCAACTAAAAGAAAATATTAGTTACAATTAGTAACTTATGATGTAATCTGTTTTGATAATCGATATTAAAATATTCCAATTTCTGAAAAATGCTCAATTGAGTTATTAAATTAATAACACAAACCCTTTCAGCGTGTCGCTTAAAATGAATCAGTAAGAAAAATATCAGTATCAACTAAACACTGATTGAGTTTACCAATAAAAGGAGCTGTTCGATGCCAAGCTTTATACAAGTTAATCACTCGTTGTCGTGCTTCCTCCCTATCAACAGAGAGTATGGGACGTACTTGTTGGATAATTCTTTTTACTGGTTCTCTTGCAGCCATTATGTTCTGTTTATGAAAACCTGATGTAATTAATAATTTTGTGGCTATTAGGTATATTGTGGCCTTCTTTTGAATGAAAATAGTGGGGTAGATTACACTGAATGTAACCTCAGGACAGACAGACATAGATAAACCATGGAGCATAGAAACAACAGAGAAAATTATGTAGTCATCTACTTATAAGTATAGATCTGAAGTATACCTAGATAGGAAGATTAAAAAGCATAAAAAAATTACTGCGAATATATATTCGATTAATCATTCTATTTCAAAGATAAATAGAAATGAACAATTAATGTAAAAGTGTTAAGAAAGGCTAACATCCATCTATATGCTAACATTCCATCAGTTTTCAACTAAATATAAAGAGTTTACGTCAAAGTTAAAAATTTTGAACAAATCAATAGCTTGAAAATGCAGGTTGTCTATATAACATATGTTGCGCTTTTAATACACCTGACTGCAGGTTCTGAAACCAAGACGTTCCAATTAACAATGCCGAATGTACGACCATATCGAGTAAGTTTCATATATTCTATAAAATTTATCATCTTTGCTTTTCATCATGATATTGTGACATTGAAGATTTTTTCATAGAGAAATCTCATTTTTTATTGATTCGCCTTCATATTATGGGTAAAGGTATTACAGACAGCAATGGCAAGTTAATCACTGTCACTTTCAAAACTTGCCATAAATTTTGAATGCAGGATTATTTTATTAATCAGAAACGGATTATTAAATATATATTCAAATGCGTCCTACGCAATACATGATAAAACAATCAGATTTACCTGTATAGATTTATAGTATTTCCTCATTTCTGATAATAACTTTTTATTTTAGCCTGAACTATATCTATGTACTCCTGTTAAAGTGGATTATACCAGAAATTACTACATGAGTAAGTTTAAAATGCAAATAAAATTTACAGAAAACAACGGATAGTTTTTGAATGTAATAAGTAATACGATGAATTATTTGGTTCCATAGCTGCTTTTCAACCTAATGCAACCATGAAAACGGCTCATCACATGCTGTTATATGGCTGTGGAGAAGGTAAGATTCAATATGCTTAGTAGTTTAAATGTATTTTAATTTTATGTTGTTTATATAATAATATTTGGTTGCTTTTAAAAAAAATAATGTTTGAATTCATTTTAATTTAATAATTTTTGATGTTATAATTTTTTATTTTCAATAGTTGGATCGAGCAAACCGGTTTGGAATTGTGGAGAAATGTCTCAAGAAAATCCTGAAGAAGAAAGTGGTAGTCCATGTGAAGCTGGATCACATTCCCAGATAATTTATGCATGGGCAAGAGACGCTCCAAAATTGAATCTTCCCGATGGTGTTGGTTTTAAAATTGGAAAAAGTTCTCCAATCAAATATTTAGTCCTTCAGGTGCATTATATGCATAAATTTGAAGAAGGAAGAACTGATGATTCAGGAATATTTATACACTATACATCAGAACCATTACGGAAATTGGCTGGAGTGTTACTTTTGGGAACTAGCGGAGTCATTCCACCAATGAAAAAGGAATATATGGAAACTGCTTGTGAAATTACGGAAAATAAAACTATTTATCCATTTGCTTATCGGACACACACTCATAGTTTGGGAAAAGTTGTATCGGGATATCGTGTAAGAAAAGATGAAGAAGGCATTGATCACTGGACTTTACTTGGCAAACGTGATCCACTTACGCCTCAAATGTTCTATCCCACTCTCAGTAATGATGCCATCACTCAAGGTGATAAAGTTGCGGCAAGATGTACCATGGTTAGCGAACGCAAACGAATTACTAAAATAGGGTAATTAAAATGATTTTTCCATATAGTACATAAATATATTTAATACATTTTTCTCTTAAAATTTCAGAGCAACAAATGAAGATGAAATGTGTAACTTTTATTTGATGTACTATGTTGAAGATGATGAACCTATGGATATAAAATATTGCTATACCGCGGGTCCACCTTACTATTCATGGAAAACTTCTTCCGATCCTCATCTCAATCACATTCCTGATGACGAAGCAAGTCAATTATAAATTTGTTTTGTTCCCTCAAAGACTTTTATTATTTAAGGCGAAATCAATTTTTTTCATCATGAGATGATGAAGATGAAAAAAATTATTTTATATGGTCAAAACAAGGAAAATCAATTATTTTAACTTAGAGATTAATTTTTCATAATGTAAATCTCCATTAAAATCTGTTTTTTTTTCTTTTTTTTACATTTTACTTTATTTTTATTTCTTGTTTTTTTAGAAGTCAAATAATATTGAGTTAAAAGCAACTCACTGTTTTATTTTTTGAGGAATCTTTTAATGAATGTTATAATATATTAATACATTAAAATAATGTATTATAATGAATGGAGATGATGAGCATATTTTTGAAATGAAAAGAAAAAACTAGATCGAAAGCATAAGAAATATAAATATATTAGTAATATTTTATGTCTAATTATAAAATATTTTCTTTTGAGAGGGATGACATCAATGAAGGTAATACGGAAGAGAGAAATATTATTGTATTTTCGATATCAAAAAATTAAATGTCCAATTAAAAAGCATAAATTTCAATCAACCATCATGTATTAATTTAATATTTGTCAACTTTAGCATTGATTATTTTCACTTCTTCGATTGGACGATCATCTCTATTAGTGTCAACATTTCCGAGTCTTTTAATAACTCCCATTCCACTATAAACACGTCCAAAAATTGTATGTTTTCCATCCAGGTGTTGAGTTGGTGAAAGTGTTATGAAAAACTGCGAAAGGTTTGTGTTTGGGCCACTATTTGCCATTGATATTATACCAGCTCCTGAATGCCTAAGGTCTGGGTGTATTTCATCTACAAATTCTTTTCCATAAATAGAGTTACCTCCTCTTCCAGTTCCTTTCATTTAGATGTAAAAAGAAGTATATTTAGTTTTAGGAATAAAAATCATAAAATTTCTCATACCTGTTGGGTCACCTCCTTGTATCATAAAATCAGATATAATTCTGTGGAAAACTGTGTTATTGTAGTAACCTCTGCGAGACAATTCTGCAAAATTTCTGCAAGTGTTTGGAGCATGTTTCCAATAAAGCTCTATTGAGAATTCTCCCAGACTAAAATTAGAGAAATCAGAAAAAAACATTTCGTTCGCTACAAAAGACATTTATCTACCTTGTATCAATAGTTATTATTGAAGGCTGCCATAACTTATCAGGAATACCAGTAATATTGGCCATTTAAAATATTAAATTTGCTCTTGAACTCGAGAATATAAAAGATTTTATTTTGAGAATAGATATTTATGCCGCCTTAATTTGTTTACTTTTTCAGAGGGGTTATTAACTTAAATGATGTTGACTCAAAGTTCAATTATTGAACTCAATGAGAAATTTTCATAAACTGATTGTTTTATGTCTCGAAAGACGACGTCGTTGAAGTTGTGACAGATCTAGAAATGGTTTAAACTTTAAAGTTTGCTTATAGTAAATTAGACTGTAACTTAACAGAAGCTATCACATAAGAAAAATCTAAGTGACAAGTCAGTGGACATTTTTTATTAGAAATTAAATGTTCGTTTGCTTAGCTTAAAAAATAATTCATATTCATGAATTGAAACTTAATTTCATACTCAGTTCTGGCCCAGTTCAGTGTTTTTGAAAATATGTTAAAAATTAAATATCAACAAGTGATAATGAAATTTCTTGCTTTTACTTTTGAAACTCTCTGTCACTACCTAGGTAGGTAGTGCTTTTCAAAAAAAATGGCCATTTTCAAAGAATTTGTTTATTTTTTTTGGAATTTATCTAGTGCTTCTTTTCATCAATGGTGCTTCTGCCGGCTCATTTTTGGCGATGATTTATCCCTTGGGATTAATAATACTTAAACTCTCCTTGTTTTCTCTGACACTATTTCTTTATTAGAATTCTGGCACAATATTTCTTTATCATAAAACTTGTAAGACAATGAGCCCGGAGCATGAAGTGCTCGCTTTATATTAAATCTCTTGTTAAATCTAGTTTTCTCTTAGCCAATCAAAAGGCTGAGAGTTATTCTTAAAAGTTATAATAATCCCCACTCCAAAAGGATGATCGCGATAAGAGCATTGTGACTTTCTGAAATGTTCTTTGTGGTTATTCATGCGTATTGCACCCATGTTTTCTACATTGCATTTCAGTATATTAGATTTTTAAAGAAAAATGCTTGTACATAAATTATTGTTTTGATTTGTTTCCTGTTTCTTTATCATCGTTGTCTTCCAATAAAATATAAGGATCTTCAATATCTTTCCCGTTACGAACAACAGCAACAGTCTTTAAATTATTATATGATGTGTTTGAAATCATAGTTTTGGCGTGATTAAAGAAGAAATATCCAGTCATGTTAGTTGATGTTGACAACGCGCTTTGTAGATTGAGATTAATCGACAGAGTAGTAGAAAGAATGGGAAAATCTCATCCGAAAATTAAGGAATTCCTGAAATTATGTGATGAGTATCTTGTCAACAATAACAAGCATCTGGATATCACCAGCGACGATGAAAAAACACCGAAGAAAAAGATGAAAATTCAGCGAAGTGAACTTAAAAAGCTACCAAAAATCACAATTGTAACTGATGAAAATGATGAAGCCCATGATGATTCGTGATTTTATTGTTGCAATTTATTACTATTATTTATAAGTTAAGAAAATGCATGTCATCATATGAGTATTCATTTTGTTGATGCTCATCGATTTTATCAATGATTATGGAATTATTCGTTGATTTTCTTATGGGTTTAACATATGACACTATTGTCGAAATTTTCAGTGAAAGCACTATCAAATTCATCTTCAGAAGATCACGGTGTTTCAGTTAATGATTCGTTAAAACTGACGATGATTAATCAAAGAAAACAATTAATTAAAAAATGATATAAGAAACATTTAAAACTCATATTATGAATTAAGTATTACACAATGTTTCATTTCTTTCATTGCTTTCTCCAAAGAGTCGTTGCATTTAAGAACAATCAATGGTCTAAGTACAATAGCTGTTAATACAGTGGAAGCTCGATTAGCGATATTCCCTTAAGCGAAAAAAGCTCGATATAAGTCGACATCACACTCACATTTTCGAACAATTTTCGTTCGTTTAGAGAAAAAGCTCGTTAATTGTGACTCCCTTGAGTTTTCTCTAATCGAGCTTCCACTGTACAAATTTAAGTTTTAATTAATTTATTACAGAAAATAATGTTATGATAGTTTTATTCAACGAGATTTTCCGGTTTCATGAGATTCACATTGCATTTTTGCTGATACTGTCAAATGTGCTATAAGATTTTTAAGTGTTTCGTAGTTATATTGTGGAAGTTCTCTCAATAACGTTTTTAATGCATGAAACTTTTGGACTTGATCAAACATTTAATCACCATCAATAAAAATTCCAATCAACATCTTCCCATTTTGATCGCTTAATGACTGCTGATTCATTTCCTTACGATTTATAAGCTCATTTAAATTGGCTATTGCTGCAGTATTTCCAGGAAAACATAAACTCCAACAATGTTTAAGCCTTTGATTTCAAGCATTTTCGTACATTTTGCTACAAGTAGAGACACGTAGAAATTCTCCTCCAACTAATTATAAGATGAAATTTGTTAAGTATAACATTTTTTATAAAATTGATTTACATACAACTAAAACTTTCATGCTGTTTAATTTCTTTATTCTAAAGCTACCTGAATGGGGTTAAAAATCCCGACGAATCAGACATAGATCGCTATGCCATCTCGATATAGTATTGAAAAAATAGAATTCAAATGCTCGTTTTCAGTTAAACTTTCTACTAATCTTGAAGATTAAAAAAGTTCAGGGTTCATCGAAATCGATTTTGAAGTATAGAAATTTATAGGTCAAACTCAAAATGCAGATTTACGATGGCCCCATACCAATAAATTTTGGTGGACGTGATACTTCCACAAGCGCAAAAAAATTGGAGGAAGTGATACTTTTGGTAGCGCAACACGTTCCGGCGCCACTAATTCGCGCTACTCATTTCAACTAAGTACCACAAGCGCGAAGCGCAATTGGTTGCGAAGGAACCATTTTGCGCTACTAAAATGGTATCACTTCCCCTAACGTTTGCGCTATGTGGACGTATCGCAAATACGACATTTTTTGCGCTACGTGGAAGTACTGCAAAAAAATGTCTTGCACATTTCTCAAGAGAAAATGGGGTTTGTCCCTTCAATATTTCAGGTCCCTGCCATACAAATTGACCTCAAATTAATCTCGATTTTAATCTAAGTTGAGTGAGTGAGTGAGTGAGTGAGTGAGTGAGTGAGTGAGTGAGTGAGTGAAACTGAGTGAGTGAGTGAGTGAGTGAGTGAGTGAGTGAGTGAGTGAGTGAGTGAGTGTGAGTATGAGTAGGAGTATCTTTAAAATTATGCTGTGGTATAATTTGAAGCTTCCCCATGTGGAGCTTGCCCATCTCCAACTTGTTATAAGTTTTCTTTGAAAGATTTATTATTATTATTATGTAATATAATCCTTGGCGCGCTTATTTTAATGAGGAGAGAATCATTTGTATTTCAAATTGTTTCCTAACTTGTTTACAAATGGAGAATGGAAATTTTTAATAAGCACCAGAATAATAATAATTTTTTCCCTAATCTAATATTTTTCGGAAGCAAGCAAGAAGAGCATATTGAGAACATGAACAGTTTCAATATTAGAAAAGAAATGTATAAACGTTTCTTCAACATACAATCAAAAATCTTATAATACTTCAAAGAATCAAAAGGTATTCAAAACATTTCTCTCGGTTTGTCTAAATAATATAAGAAAATATTGTAAACCTACTCCTTTCAGATGATATGACTTGCCAAATGTAAATAATAAATGCGTATTTGTGCACACTGCCTATTTGCAGTCATAAATCATACATCCTTTTTCTTTGATTTTTATTTTAACCTGAGTTAAAGTATTTTTCTATTTCAAAGAATTTTTGCTATTATCTAATTCAACATTAAATTATGCTGCACTGCATTATGCAGAATTGCTTGCAAGCAAAAATATGAGAGAATATAATTAGAATAAACCCCGATTATTCACGAGTGGGAAACATTGAACGCGGCTTAAGGTCGTAATGATTTGGAATAAGACCCTATGTGGAATCCAATCTATGAACAATTAAGAATCTTGTTTAGAAAATATTTTGGTGTAATAAATTTGAATAAAACATTATTAAGTTAAGGTACCTCTACGTAGAAATAAAATAAAAATTTATTAAATATGTTCTAACTAGTATGAAGATTACTGCTATAAAATATAAACGTACTGTAAATTGTAAAATGTATCAAAATGTTTCAAGAGAGCGATAACCTATTAAAGGTAGTTGGAGAACACCCTTTGTTTGCAAGACAATAGATTTTTCATAGCAAAATAAAAGGATTTATCTTCTAGGATTTACATCATACTCTGACTATATGTTTCTAGAAGGACATAGAAGATTATTGGATCAGCAGGATTCCATTTCTGTTCTCACATAAAAAATCTTAAACAAACATTACATATACCTGATAAAAATGCTGATGTCGAACTTTTCGTCTCTGCATTAATAGCTGAAATTCTGCACATGTGAACCTGAACTCTCTTTATAATTAATACGTTAGTGACTCTTTAAAATCTTTGGTTTTTTTCTTCTTTATTTGCACTGCTTGTGAAGTAATTTTGTAAAAAACAAAAAAAATCATCGAACATGTTCATTGGAAATTTTTTTAATTCTCTTATGTCCATGTTGTCCAAAAATTTAAGCTATGCATGATGACCACATACGTTGAATCCTTCTTGACCAAAACGTACTTACAAATATTTACTTATGTTCTGATATCAACTTTAAGGCAAACAGTTGAACCAACAAAACATTTACCACCGTAAAATGAACAAGCAATTTTAACATAAACACAACTGCTGTTGCGCTTAATTGCGTCATTCCACGCGATTCTTAATACTTTCTATTTACTTTAGACGTCTGGCTTGACTATCAACACGTGATAACCTTTTTTAATGATATTGATAGGAATCAAACAAACAAAAAGAATAAGAAAGGAAATAACTGGAAGAATGACCAAAACTTCCTTTTTTGATCTTCCGTAGTAATTTGTGGATTAAATAAATATTTAACAAGTCCAAACGCCAGGTAATTATAGAAGTTCTAAAAATTTATCTTTTATTCCCCAACTACTATTAAATTGCTCGGAGTGCAGTCTTTTTTTCTCGTCTATTGAAAATAAATTTATGTGTGTACGTTGTGAATGAAGCCGCAAGTGATATGTTGACGGAAAAAATCAATCGATTTGAAGTTTTATTAAGAGTCAGGTTAAAAATGTAACGAAAATCGTTTCTAAAACTCTGTTCTTTCCATACTTATTACGGAATATTGACTAGGAATATTATTATATTAGTTAATTAAAAAGTTAAAATCAAATTATTAATTAATGATTGAACATAAAATCTCTAGAATTAAAATAAAACCTTTCTGGGTCAAATCAAGTCGAATCAATGCCTGAGTCATATTCATTTATTGATGTCCCCTAAGAATAACGTCAACGTTGTACATCGATTCTCCCTTGTGGGAAGAATTTAATCCTCTTGTCGCTAGCGCTGTGCATAGCGCTGCTCACTTGCTCTTTTTTCCTTCTTCATTTTGAGTAATATAATCTCCTTGCTGAGTGCCGTTGGAGATAACGTATCATTGTTGCAATCAGCATTTCATTACTCGTCTCCGATAAAAATCGAATGAAGGGCTTACTTTGAGAAGGAGAAATATCGTTTCAGCATTAAAATAAGTAAAATAAATAAATGCGGATTGCAAATTTAACTGGTACTTTACATCTTTATTTAAGTTTTTTATAGATGTGAGTATTTTGTAATAAAAATTTTGAATATTTAGAGGGAATTGAAGTTATTTTAATGTCTTCTTTCCGTGACGAATAATAAACGTAATAAATAAAGTAAAACTCTCTTGATAGCTTTGATGAAAATTGCTTGACGACTTGGATAATAAATGAATGTCAATTAATAACCAGGTGACGTTTGTAAAGACATAGAACCTTGCGGCCAGATGGGATTGCCAATTGTCATTCCAGAGAAAGCTGAAACAAAAATTAAAATTTTCGCTCTCAATTTTCCCAGTAATTAGTGTTGTCCATCAAGGTTTAAGAGTGAAAACAAGCACGAATATAAAGGAAATAAACATTTTTTTTGGTCCCACTTATGTTGTGACAGTTACAAGTTGTGAAACGATGACAATTCTAATAATTACACGCAAAAAATCAATCATTAAAATACCAACTGAATGAATAACTGACAGTATTATGTCATGAAAAATTGGATAGGGTTATTAAGTATGATGGGGGATTGATTAGATCAAATCAGTCACGTATGTGGCGTTCCGAGAAAGGTAAAACGAATAGCTTTGACTTGTTCCATGTTTTGATAATTAACAGGGGGATAACAGGAAAGCAAAAGGACAGTTTAACAATTGTATTATGAAGAGAAATTCCGTGCCAACAAGACAGAAAGATTAATACTATAATATCCTAATGGATTTGAATTGATACCTAGTTTTAAATGAGCGTACAAGAAGTTCATTTCAATTAATT